TAATGTGTATCTCCATGGCAGGTTTGGTCTTAAATTTCATATTAGGTGGTATTAAAAATGTCTTAAATTGGTTATATCTGCAGACACCCTGTTTTAAGATTAGTATAGTACATACTGTATACAGTTAGACTGCTGTACACATGTGGGCCAATTTATGATGTTTCATACACTGGTCAGGGTCCCCGCACATTTTCATGATTAAAATTTCCAAACTTTTTCATGACTTTTCATGGAATCAAAGTAAAGATTTTTTTTTTCGGGCCCTAATTGGCCAGCAGTTTATAAACATCTTAGCTTCAAACTCTATTCAGACATAAGTTAAGCTAGCTGGTATACAGGAAAGGAGGGACAAACCCAGAGAGAAAATGACAAAACGTACTCAGTGATAAACAAAACGTTGTTACACATTGACACATATTAGAGATACATTACCTCGATAGCTAAAGAGATATAGAGAATTAATTTGCTGTTATGTTACATTGCATTGAAGATTATCTATGAAAGATTATTGTAACAATTTCAATATAGTCAACAAATTTCCTTGACTTTTCCTAAACTTTAAATGATTTTGACTAAGTCCATGACTTTTCCAGGTCTTCATGATCATGGAAACTCCTGGCAGGTTTAACTAATAATGTCAATTACCGCATTGCCTTGCAGCTACTGCTGGACATGTGTCATTGTTAATGTTATTAGTTGCACATGTGCTTTTCCTGTTGTCACATGTCAACATATGTTCTGTTTTTGTAAAGGTCTATGAATCTGTTACAGTCCTTGAATCAAACATCTTACTGTTGTACCTTTTGTTTTTGCACCAAAGGGAGGTTGTGGCAGCTGCTGGACTTTCTCCACCACTGGCTGTCTGGAGTCGGTTATCGCCATCAACAAGGGGAAGCTCGTACCACTGGTGACTGTCTTTCACTTCTCTATCAAAACTGCTGTTCTTGTATTAAAAAAAAGAAATTAACATGTCACAGAAGGGCCAAGAGTATTAACTGGAATCTCTAATATTCATATAGTCAGAACAACAGCTGGTAGACTGCGCCCAGGCCTTCAACAACCATGGATGTAACGGGTGGGAGTCAAAAATACGTTTCCTTCCTCTTATGATAATCTCCCTGTAACTACAGCACATTTCTATAACAAGATAACTTGTCTTCTAGGGGCCTTCCCAGTCAAGCATTTGAATACATCCTGTACAACAAGGGGCTGATGACAGAGGACGACTACCCCTACACATCCATTGTAACGAAATCATTTGCCTTCCTAACATATAAAATAACTAAAATATAAGCAACACAGACTTTGAAGTCACGTATTTAATCACTCTGTGCTTTTCTGTTAAACAGGAAGGTACTTGTGTGTATAACCCAGAACGAGCAGCTGCCTTTGTGAAGGAGGTGGTGAACATCACAGCGGTGAGTGAACATCAGAGTCTTTATTCGAGATGTTTGAACAGTCTGTGAGTGATGAAGGTTTTCTGTTACAGTACGATGAGATGGGGATGGTGGACGCGGTTGCCACACGCAATCCTGTCAGCCTTGCCTTTGAGGTGACCTCTGACTTCATGCACTACTCTCAGGGCGTCTACACTAGGTGAGCAGAAGCCAGAACATTGTCATGTACGATCTTGGAAATTGACTGTCAGTTTTCTTGCAGTTTGAGCCCACATTAGCAGGAGGAGGGCATGGCCACTAGATTGCAGTACATTTTTCATGGCAATATACACTACACTTGGTTAATAAAAAGTGCACAGATTTACTTCCTCAGGGGGAAAATCATGTTTAACCTCGTATTTTTCTGTTCTGTTTTTGTCTGGTTTTGAGCTGAAGCTCACATGTGACAGTCACAGGTGACTGTGTCTATAAGACATGTTGCTAAGACAGAATATAAAGCTTTGTTACAGTAATTTATGTCTTAAACATCTCTAGAATTTTCACTTTTACTTGAACATTTAGGAATATTTTGCAAATTCGACTCTTTCCAACTAAACCTGGGGAGTTGGACATGATGACACTTTGACTCACAGCTTGATATATTATATTACCTGTTGTGCTACAATTTCCCTCATTTATCAGTGCAGAATAACCCCGAAGAAAGTGATACCACTGTAAAAGTAAAACACACTTTGTCTTTTCTTTAAGGCATGCAATTTAGTGGATACATGCACAAACACAAAGTGTGTGACCACATACAAGTGCACTTGTCGACAGAAGTAGAGTTGTTTTAGGATCTAAGTTTTACTAAATATCCTGCACTTGAGTTAAAATGGAAACCAAACAGGAATGGTGTAGCCGAGCCAAGTTTAACACTGCTGCCAAATCAATACTTGGGAAAATGGGGGCATTTTTTAAAAACATTTTGTTTTTACACTGTGAGTTAACTGTGACTATCTGTCAGTGAAGCTGCTAAACTTGAAACTGGTTTAGTTCCTCATTCTTGATCAAAACAGTCTCATATATCAAGTTGGCTCTAACTCCCTTCTCTTCTGCCTTTCAGCACTGAATGCCACCAGACCACAGACAAGGTGAACCACGCTGTGTTAGCAGTCGGGTATGGACAGGAGAGCGGCACCCCTTACTGGATAGTGAAGAACTCATGGGGATCTTACTGGGGGATTGGCGGGTCAGTTTTCTGTTCAGTCATTTACCGGAAAATATAACCAAATGTACACCAACTAGAGTTAATTAATAACTGTGTTCTTTTTACAGATATTTCCTCATTGAGCGTGGGAAGAACATGTGTGGACTCGCTGCTTGCTCATCTTTTCCCGTGGTGTGATTCCTGCGTGACAGCAAACTACAGAGGGGCTGAAAAGGGAGCAATATCTGACTTTTTTTGGTATTATACAGTGATTTTTATATAATCAGTAGCCTACTGTGTGTTTATGCACAGTATGTTTTTGCACAATAGAGTCAGCCTCTGGAGAAGCACTATGTAAGGGGCAGATCAAGTCATATCCAGATTAATCAATAAATCTGACGTTATGATTTAAATACCAGTTATTCTATTCATTTCATGACATTCACATATAAAGTCTATTACAATTTGTTTGATGGAGTTTTTTTAATTTAAGTTTATTACAGTTGTGTGTGCAATGCTCCAATATGATGGATATAGTAATAATGATTGAAGAAGGAATAAGTACCCAAACAACTTTAGAAAGAGGGTGCACACATTAACATCAACATTGTTTTGTCTTTCTGTGACATGTAAGATTTTAATTCAATTTATAATTTCCATTCATTCATTTTCCGTAACGGCTTATCCTATTAGGGGTCACAGAGGGGCTGGAGCCTATCCAAGGTAACACTGAATGAGGGGCAGGGTACACCCTGGACAGGTCACCAGACTATCACAGGGCTGACACATAGAGGCAGACAACCATTCACGCTCCCATTCACACCTATGGCCAATTTAGGGTCACCAATTAACCTGCATGTCTTTGGACTGTGGGAGGAAGCTGGAGCACCCAGAGAAAACCCACACTGACACAGAAAGAACATGCAAACTCCACACGGAAGGGCTCCTCCCTTGAACCCCCCACCCTGGGTTCCAGGAACCCTCTTGCTGTGAGGCAACAATGCTAGCCACTGAGCCACTGTACCACCATTTTTAGTTTCATGCGAATGTTAAATTCCATTTTCACTGAACCTCTAATTAAGGGTAAAACTGTAGGCCTACCAGTGCACCAAGAATAGGCGATACTGTATGAGTAAATGCAGCAGACAAGACCTGCTTAGAGTTATTTTGTAATAATGGTATGATACAGTGCTGTAAGGTAGTTACCATGGGCCCCTGTGCACACTATTATGACAGGCCCTAGTGCACCCCAGTGCATTATAAAGCACACACACATGCATAGAGTTTTAGGCCTATACATACTTTACCAACAGTGTGTCTTACTGCCGCTTTTATGTTACATCTGCTTTCAGATGTGCCAAGAGATTTTGTGCCTAAACTAGCTACTGTTAATTGTATGACTTTATATTGGACAACATCAACATACATGTTACCCAGCAACCATCATTACATATTTGTATATGACATAAACTGCAAAAGAAAATGGGAAACTATCAGTTTAACTATGATGATTGAGATGGATTTGCCTTTTTGAGGGCATATATAGAAAATCACACCATTTCTGAATTGACATGAGTTCTTCTTTAAACACGGGCATATTTCCAGGTGGCAATCGGGCCCCTCCATCCCATAGACCCAATCTTGTGTGTTACATCCCACTACATCAGTTGTATATGAGGTTTTACCTGTAAGAAACCTGGGATACTTCACGGTGTTTCCCTGTGTTTCCTGTGAGAGCCATGACGTAAGACTACATTTCCCAGAACTCTCAACCGTGCTCAACATCGGCCAATAAGGAGTCAGTTTGTTGAATGGGCGCAAAGTATGTTGTCTGTTTTCCTCACATTACTGGGGAGAGTAGACGTAGTGTTTGCTTTAATCGCTGAAGTTTAGTGGATAGAACTGTGTTAACTTAAATGAACTTTCACGAGTTACGAGTGCACAGCGAGACCAACTCAGCGCGAGCATCCGGTCACTTGTCTCATCCCGTGTCGCGTGCAATGTTGAAGAAACCAGCCGCCACTTTGTGAACTGAGCTCGGACTGTTAGCTAGCTAACACTCGCTAGCTCAGACTGTAGCACCAACAATGTCTATTCTTCCACAAAATAACCTGAAGGAGCAGCTGGCGAGGCACAGCAATGCTGCTCAGAGCAAACTGTCTCTGGCTAAACCCAAACCGGGGTAAGTCTACGCAGAGCTCATGCTAACGTGCTAACGCTAGCTATCAGTGAGCTGTCAGCTGTGGTAACTGACACTCCTCAGCGTTATCTAATTATTTACACAACAGGGCTGTGTGAGCTTTATTAGAAATAACGTACTGTGCAAATGGAGTATATGCAGTGTGTGAGGAGCCGCGTGCATTCAGAGCTTCGCAATTCTCCTTTCAGTTCATCATAAGGACAGCAAGTTTGTCAAACAGTAATAACATTATTGTTCTAACTAGTGGATGTCCAAGAGACTTTATTGGTTTATTGTTTGTCAATGTAACATGTTTGTGTCAATAGATAAAACTTTCTGTGTTAATTAAACTACTGTTTGCAGAGTTTCCTGCAAGTGCTAACTCATAATGGAGACACACTAAGCACCCTGCTGTCCAACTGGCACCTGGATGCTCACATAAAAATGAAGTGTACAATATTTTTCATCTCTTGAATATATATATATACATATATAAATTCAACATACAATGCACATACTTGTACATATTTCTTATGCGTACTGTAATTCTATTGTTGTTTATTTCCCTGATGTATATAATATATTATAGTTAAATTTTCACACTTACAGCCTCAGCCGTGATGAAATATATTTTATTTAATATTTTAAGTGTATATCTTCAGTAATAGTGTTTAGCACAGTAGCATAATGCACATTTTGTTTTTATTATGATGCACATTTCATTTCTACTTTATTTAATGCTCTATATTTGCACACTTTTTTTCATATACTATTTTTACTTCTTATAATTCTCTATTCTTTACATCGTAGCAAAGGTAATGAATCATAATTTACCCTCGGGATCAATAAAGTATTTCAGATTCTGATTTCTGATTCTGAAATGTGACATTCATAACAAATCACCATGTGATGATAACACAAAAATCAAATTTGACTGCCCTCTTGAACAATCAAATCTCAAGTTTAATGAACACCCTTGTTCCTAACTATCACATCATGTTTTCATAATTTCACACTGGTTTATTTTTCAGGGCCTTTTCTTTCAAAAAGAAGACCTCATCGGGTACAACCAAGGTGGAAGTCCTGACCAAGGTAACCAGCTCTAATGTTTTGGCAAACAGGAATGTCAATGTCCCTAAGAACAGTGTGGTGACTCAATCTCCTTTGACATTTTCAAACAAGCTTGAGAGACCTCAAAAATCCAAAATCAACAACTTCTTCCCTGTAAGTTCAAAAGGCATGTCGGACTCAAGCACCCCAGCAGGTAACCGTGCTCCTGCAGGTCAGACTCCTTCAGCAGTGTCTGCTACTAAGGTGACGACAGCTCTGACTAAATCTGACAACCAGTTCACTAGTGGCAATGGAGGCAACTCCACAAGTCTGGATGCATCTCTTGGAATCTCGATAGATGACTGGGATGATTTTGATGACTTTGAAACTCCTCCCGCCAAAGCAAAAAATGACTCATTCAGTTCAGAAAAATCTGGGAAGAGCGCCAATCCAGTGTCGTCTTTTAGTGAAGAAAAAACACAGCACACAGAGAAACTAAACCATGACGCCTCTCTCAGAACACCAGAGTTAAGCAGCAGTTTTGGAAACAAGACAGGTCTCTCCAGAAGTGAACAGTCTCGCATGGACACAGATGAACTGGAGCATGGTGTCGACAAATCTGCAGTTTCACCAGGACCTAGTTCGAATCAGGACCCAGCAGAGTTTGAAATTGAGGATTCTCCAGTTAGAAAGCCCAGAAGACGACGACTTCCCTCTGTTCATCTGACGTCTGTCCTGAGTGATAGTGAAGAGGACAAGGATGATGTGGTGGAGACTTTTAAAGAAAAGACAGGTAACTAGCCATTTGTTATAGCATTTGTATTTCATTTATACATTGTGGGGCAGAAATGGGTCTAGAAAGCATTGAATTATACAAAATAAAGCAGATTTTATCCTTTGTTTTTCAGACGATAAGAAAAAATGGGTTGACCCAAAGGTCATACAGCTTAATGACAACTCAGAGCCTGAAGATGATCTTGATTACATTCCCCCTTCTCCGATCCATGATCAGATCTCTTATACCACTTTTGCACTGGAGACCAGGTCAGTTTGTTCAGTTTATTATACATTTTACCGCTGTTCACACATGCTCATGTGTCTACATGGTAGTGAATTATATGATGCTAAAAAATGTGTGTATCTTCTGTAGTCAAATCACTGTGACAAATAGTACTGTTGAAAGAGTCACCCACCAATTTAGCATTGCACTCCTGTAACAATGTTGGACTCTCAGTGGACAGTAAAAAAAGAGATATCTTTGATTGTATTCCACCCATTCTTCTCCGCTGTTCTGTTTTTGTGGGTTATGAATACTAATTTGAAGAAAGGGTATCAGTTGAGATACACATCTTGGGTAAAAACAAAACCAAGCATATTAGTTTTGATAGTACAGTTGTTATAGTGGGTGCATTTTGCTGCAAAGCTTTCACACTTTACTATGACTCAGGTTTTCTGCAGGTCCTTAAAAATCTCATCTTCAATTCAATTGTCTTAATATTAGGCCTTAAAAGTAATCAAATAGCCTTAGATGGGAATTTGTGACATTAATTCCCACAACCATTATCCACTTTCAGTCATATAGCTTTTGATATGTTTGAGTTGAAATGAGTCAAGCTCTTCTGTGTGAAACTCAACATTTCTGACGTTACAAATCTTTAAACCTACCACTGAACCTTATACTGTCCTTTTATTTTATACTTGCAGTTACCAGTTGGCAAAATGTAGATTAATCTAACTGACTTTAATAACCATTTTTCCTAAATAAAACCTACCTCTGCACATACCACCACATATATACTACTTAACCTTTATTCTTACTGGCAATTCTTGAATAAGAAAAAGATGATTTGCCCTAAAAACTGTCTTGAAAAGGTCTTAAAAGAATTAAATTTAAGTGTCCAAATCTTGTAGAAACCCAGAATAGTTATTATAAGTTCATATGAGTTTTTGACCTCGATATTACACAGATTTCACCTAATAGAGGATTTTAAAAAGTTATCGGGACATAACATTTCTTATATTTCAGCAGGTCTAAATCAGCTGGTACTGAAAGCAGAGACAGTCCTGTGCAGTCAAAGGGACCTACAACAACACTACCTGAACCCTCTGATCACCACTCAAAAGATAAAACAAGTGGGTGCAATGTCTTTTCCCAATTTGTTTGAACCTTTTGCACATTTTATTTAGCACTTTGTTTTTTTCACCCTCTTCATTAACGTAGTTGTTTCTTTCTTCTGATCACGTCACAGATGAGCAACTCTTCAGTATCATGGAGTCCATTTGTTCTCTGGTTGATTCCATCCCTGAACATGAACTGATAGGTTTGTCTTGTGGAGATGAGCTGTTGCTGAAGAGGGCTCAAAGGTGTGTACATGTGAGAGGAAAACAGATTTGTTAGTATTCATGATATTTAATGATGTCTCAATATGATTTCAATCACCTGCCTTTCCTCTGCAGGAAGAGGATTCTTGCAACAGGTGGTGGCGGTTTATTGAAGATACAGCAGCCAGACAGCACTGTGATTTCTGAACCCCGCTTTACAGAAAAATCCCTTAGCTGTGATACGTCTAGTGTTATGTCATACAGCACCTCTGTGCCCATTGACTTCAAGAAGCCTCCTCAGATCAGGAGATCTTCAGTCATCTCTCTGGACTATGACTCTGATCTCTCTGACAGTATTATTAACACACAGCCTTTGTACAGTAAGAACAGCGGGACAGTGTCAGTGAAAAATCAGAGTACCTGCGACTCTCCGTCAGCCCTCAGCCTCACAAAGCCATCTTTTGATTTCTCTAAGAAAACAAGCACAGACCTGGATGATTCAGATCTCTTCTTCTCTCCCAAGAAGCCTGTTGAAACTGTTGTTCAGAAGAAATCTAACACCCCAGCAGCCATTACACCTGCAGAAGAGATGGTGTTAGATGAGTTTTATGATGACTACTTTGACATAGATGACTTCAATGACTCCGATATCCCTGATTACTATGACGAGCCCCCAAACTCCAGCACTGTGACTACAACAGTGAAAGAGGGGGGACCAAGCAAGTCTTCATGGGATAAGAAACCAACAACACCTGCTCCTACACCCAAGCCTTCAACGGTCTGCTCTCCTGGTAAGTCGGCATGACATGGAAAAATTCCCATTCAAGTCCACAACAATTACAGCAGCAGTCATTGACTACACTTACATGCACAAAATATGCAATTTTTGTGCCGTTGACACAGCTGATGAAAATGAATATTTCAGTTGAGTAGCCTGACGGCCCTGTGGTGCATTTTACTGACTCAGCTTTAATGTTTTCCGATGCAGAGCCCACCTTCAGAAACCCAGCCCACGATCGCTTCAGAGGGTACAACTTCCCCCACTCACAGGAGATGATGAAGATCTTTCACAAGCGTTTTGGTCTCCATCAGTTCAGATTCAATCAACTTGAAGCAATCAATGCAACAATCCAGACAGAAGACACGTTTATTTTGATGCCCACTGGTTAGTAGTGATCAAAAGTTATAGAAACAAAACTTATCTTAGCCAATGCATGTGAGTAGGGTTGGGTACTGTTCACATTTGAACTGGCGCCAGTACTCAAAGATAATTTTTTTAGTACTTAACGCTCTCTGTAATAACAAATGTAATTTTTGAACAAGGTCAACAAGCAGTTCTGCTCCATTTCTTTAATCACACATAGAGCTACATTTCTGTCTTTGTGTGTGTGTGTGTACATGTGTGTTTCTGCTAGGGATAGACTGATATGGATTTTTTAGGGCCGATGCCGATACCGATTTTTTTCCATCACCCTTAGCCGATGACCGATTATGGACTGCCGATTTTCTTGAGCCGATATTTGGGGCCGATACTGCTTTTGCTCCCTCAATTTACATCAAAAAAATGACACAATGATAACAAATATTACAGGTCTCAAGTTTAAAATAAGAAACATTTATTGAACAGTAAAAAATACTAAAACAAGATGGAAAGTTGAGGTAGAACAGGTAGAATATTATTATTATTATTGTTATACATTCAAATAAAAAAAAGAGTTCAGTGCTCTTAAATCTTCCAGTAATGTCTTTATAAAATAAACAAATATTTAAGCTGAAGCATAAATAAAACAACAGCTACTGTACACAGTAGGATTGGCTGCATGTGCGCTGCAGGGTCATCCGGCAACACAGAGCTGCCCGTGGATGCCTGTCTGTAAATCATGCCAGGGAAAAATAAATCCGCGAACCCACGCGCGTATCGGCCGATGCCGATACAAGTAAAAAACTCAAATATCGGCCCGATATATAGGCCGGCCAATGTATCGGTCTATCCTTAGTTTCTGCTCATCTCATCAACTCATCAACTTAACGGTGCTTCTTCCTCCTTTCTAAACCCGGCGGCTCAGCAGAGCACCATTATTTCCACCACAAAATGCCCCGAAGATGGCCATGGACTTTGCAGTTGGCTTTGGGATGATTTGTGGTGTTTCTGCATCCTATCTGACCATGGCATTCTCACCCATGTGCACTTTTAGATAATGAAATTGGGCACCAAGTGATTTAACATGAATTGATGCTTGATAGTACCAATGTAATTCAGTCAATACCCCTAGAAGTACAGAGTTCAGTACCCAACTCTACATGTGGCAGTAGATTTAGGATATCAACTACAGTAAAAATGTCCACATTTCTCTGTTACTGAAATGTTTTTAGGTGGGGGTAAAAGCCTGTGCTACCAGCTACCTGCCTGCGTGTCACCAGGGGTCACTGTGGTCATTTCTCCTCTCAAATCACTCATTGTAGACCAGGTCCAGAAACTCACAACACTGGATGTAAGTGTGTTTGCTCCCGTTGCTCATTTGGGTCAATATAAGGTATGATGATATTGTTGTAATGTGTGTTGTACTCATTTTTTTAATTCCAGATCCCAGCAACAAGCCTGTCTGGTAATGTAAGTGAGAGTGAAGCAGGGAGGATTTATATGCAGCTCTCTAGAAAAGACCCCATCATTAAACTTCTTTATGTCACCCCTGAGAAGGTGAGAGATTAATGATTTCAGCTAAATGTTACAGCTGATTTAATGTTAGCTACAAAATTAGTAGAAATTATTTTACTGAAGACTGATGCATCTTTTCTTCTCTTCAAGGTGAGTGCAAGTAACAAGCTGATCTCCGCCCTGCACAACCTGTACGAGCGAGGCCTTTTGGCCCGCTTTGTCATAGACGAGGCTCATTGTGTCAGTCAGGTGTGTTCCTCTGCTTCACTGCTTCTTCCACAATCTGCAGTATGCTTTTGTCTTTGCAGCAGTCATTGTTAACCATCCTGTGACCTTTAATCTTTCAGTGGGGTCACGATTTCCGCCCAGACTACAAGAAGTTGCATGAACTTCGTCAGAAGTTTCCCAAGGTGCCGATGATGGCCCTGACAGCCACCGCTACCCCGCGTGTTCAGAAAGACATCCTCAACCAGCTGAATATGACTCGGCCACAGGTGTACGTGCTCCATCTCAGGCTCCGTCTCAGATTTTTAAATGTAACTATATTTGAATTCACACAGCCAACAGCTTCATATTTACCATCTAATATATTTTCAGGTTCACCATGAGCTTCAACAGAACGAACCTGAAGTATGCTGTCCTGCCTAAGAAACCCAAAAAGGTCGATGAGGACTGCATCAATTGGATCAAGAAGCACTATCCACGTAAATAATTCAGAGGAGCTTTTTCGGTTATTTTCAGAACACTGCTGTAACTGTTTTGTTGAAAATTCAACACAGATTTATGTGTGACCACATTCTGGGACCATATCTGAATAATGTCGAAGGGACAGATTTTAAAAACACATACAATTCTTGAGCTTGTATCAGAAATAATTTAAAATCAATATTTTGTACAATGCTCAATTGCTTTAGTAAGCAGTATTATATAAATTAGGGAATGACTGTGTATTGAATTATCATAGTGGAGAATATTTTGTCAGTGATTACAGCCCCTCCGTGTTTTATTAACCTGTATCTCTGCGTGCTGCAGGCGACTCTGGCATTGTGTACTGCCTGTCCCGTAACGACTGTGATGCCATGGCTGAGAGCCTGCAGAGAGCACAGATATTAGCTCTGTCCTATCACGCAGGCCTGAGTGACAGTGACAGAGAGTATGTGCAGAACAAGTGGATCAACCAGGACGGCTGCCAGGTGAGGTCACCGCTCACTCACTGATATGATATGAAGATGAATAATAAATGCAGGGTTCCCACAGTATTAAAATCCCTGTGAAATTGTTTGCATTTATCAGTGTTTTTTAAAGGTTTGAATAAAAAAAAACATCACTAGTATCACATGATACACGTAGACCAGACTTTGATCGCGTCATCACCAATGCTGCACGGCCTACTTGAGGAAAAAAGTGCACTCTCAAATCAGAAGAGAAACAGAAGAATGCCAAAAAGCTTTTAGACAGTGGGTTGACCAAGGGCTTCACAGTAGAATTTGAGTGGCATAAGATAGTTAACGTTTACTGTATGTTTGGTAAATCGCTAAATGATGCTTGTGACAGTTACTACTGATGGATAGCTAACGTTAGTTTGAGTGGGAGGCTGCTACAGTATAGTCAGACTGTTGGCCGTTAACAGGTTGGTTATTTACAGCCTTAGGCTACCTGGTGATTCAGTCAAATCACCAGCTATCATTATGTGAACATCTATACATGAAATACCTGCCACTGTGATGGGGATGATTGAAGGAACATAACGATCAAGCTTAATTTATTAAGGTATCGCTAATGTTAATGCTCACGTTCAGACAAGGTTACAAAACAATCAGCTTGTTGGCAGTGGAAATGTCTAACAGAGTGAGTAAAGTTAGCAAGCACTAGCAGTTCTGTGTGTCCATAAATGCCTGGGATGTGCATGTTTAATAATGTATGGCTGTATCTTTATATGGGCTGATCCATTTTACACTACTTTAATAAAGTCATGGAAATAGGATAGAATAGCTATTTTAGTTTTGGAAAAGTTTTTTTAGGGACTCTGTACATGTTACTAGATACAAAGCAGTTAACACATAAATGTAACATTTTGCACACTGCCCTTACACACTGTTTGCTTTTGTCTGCCAGGTCATCTGTGCCACCATAGCCTTTGGCATGGGTATCGACAAGCCTGATGTGCGCTATGTGATCCATGCCAGTCTGCCGAAGTCAGTGGAGGGTTACTACCAGGAGTCCGGGAGAGCTGGCAGAGACGGAGAGATCTCTCACTGTATTCTCTTCTACTCCTACACCGACGTCCACCGCATCAAGAGGATTATCAGCAGTATGTGACTAAAATATAGACTGTTCTTATTGTCTGCAAAATGTATGTGTATTTTCCAGCCTGTTAAACTGTTTGACACGTTTACTTTCCAAATGACAAACTGCATATATAAGTCATGTAGACTGAGATGGCTCTTTTCTTATCATGACAGTGGACAGAGAAGGTGACAGACACACCAAGGCGACTCATTTCAACAACCTCCACAGCATGGTGCACTTCTGTGAGAACATGATGGAGTGCCGAAGGATTCAGCTGCTTGCATACTTCGGGGAGATGAAGTTCAACAAAAGCTTCTGTAAGGAACACCCGGACGTGAGCTGCGACAACTGCGCCAAACCAAACGTAGGAATAATCTCTTTCTTTTATTCATTACAAATTCAGAAATCTACCTAGCCCTTTTCTAATTGAGTGAGAATGTTTGAATGTTCCTGTTTGTGTGCAGCAATACAAGATGAGAAATGTCACTGAAGACGTGAAGAAGATTGTGAGGTTTGCCCAGGAGAACTGCGAAAAAGTTGGAGCAAGGTTTGGCAGGACTTCTCAGCAGAACCGACTGACACTGAACATGCTGGTGGACATCTTTATAGGTAAAGGACATGAACGTGCTTGACATGAAAAGGCACTTTGCAGCTGTGAAACCTGCATGATGTCTTGTACTGATGTGTTTATATATTCCATGTGGCAAGAACTGATAAAGGTCTGATGGGGGAATGTGTCTCTCTTCCAGGGTCTAAATCTGCCAAAGTACAGACAGGAATGTTTGGGATGGGAGGAGCCTACTCCAGACACAATGCTGACCGTCTCTTCAAAAAGCTGGTGCTGGACAACGTCCTGGTGGAGGATCTTTACATCACCAACAACGGCCAAGCTGTGTCGTATATCTCTGCTGGACCCAAAGCCATGAACGTGCTGTCTGGACACATGCAGGTAACCTGACACATGTATTGACTGTACAGCACCTAAATGACAATGGTGTTGTTATTCTGTAGTTATTATATTGTGCATTAAACATTTACTTCACAATGATAAGCAGAAGCAAAAAAATAGCCTATTTCCACTTTAAAGTGTGAAGTAAAGATGTATATCAAATCATTAAACCTTGACCTATCACAGGTGGAGTTCTATGAGACGGAGAGCGCGTCTAGCATCAGGAAACATAAAGCAGCTGTGGCCAAGAATGTCTCCCAGAGAGAGGAGAAGGTTCAGGAGTGTCTGAAGGAGCTGACGGATCTGTGCAAGCAGCTGGGGAAAGCTTTTGGCATTCACTATTACAACATCTTCTCCACTGCCACCTTGAAAAAGATATCAGGTAATTTATGAAACAGTTCTTCTGTATCATTAGCATTATGCCACAGCAAAACAAGGAGTATCAGAAGAATTTTCATATTCCTAGATCCATACATACTAAATGAGACAAAGTTGTGGAGATACATCTGTGCCATTTTAAAGCATTTTACAACTTGTTATTCTTGTTTTTATATGAACAGAGAAGCTTTCTTCTGACGCTGAGGTCCTCTTACAAATCGACGGTGTGACAGAAGACAAACTGGAGAAGTACGGAGCTGAAGTCATACAGCTCCTAGAGAAATACTCTGCGTGGCAGCTGCCAGGTAAGAAACCAAATTACATTTCTAGCATGTTTCTCCTTATATCTTTAACTGGTGTACTGTTCTTTTAATTCGGCACATTGTGGTATTAATCCTACGTCTCTGCAGAGGAGGAACAGGCAGTCAGTGGTGGAGACGGGTGGATAGACACGGCACAAGGTCGCGCATACGGAGACTCGGAAGACGATGCAGAGTCCTCCACGTACTTCAATAATAAGCCTGCACAGGGACAGAAGAGAAAGAAAGCTCCATTCTTCAAATACTCCAAGAAGAAAAAAGCATATGGCAACTCAAGTGGCAACTCTAAAGGGTATGTCGTGTTTGTTGACATGTTATCATATAACCAGGCATCATATTTAACACTAAGCTTAAACCTTACTTCCTCTTCTCTCCTCTCTCCTGCTGTGGTGTTGTGGATTCAGTCGTGGCTACAGCAGCAATAAATCGTTTTCATCGTACAGCTACAGAGGTGGATCAAAAGCTGCAGGTCGGGGGTCCAGGAGCACAGCGGGCGATACATCAGCAGGCAGGAGACCGGGCATCATGAGTGTCCCGACCCCTCAAACCAGCCAGCGACCCTTCTTAAAGCCAACCTTTTCATACTTGGGCTAGGGCTGTTTTCTGGATCTGACTTTCAGGGAAGCTACTTTTTCACTACATTTTCAAACCAGCTGGTGTTACTGGGTACATCCAAAGGGTTAATGTAAACTGATAAAATTGTATATTTATGTTCTGTACATGACATCTGTCCAGATTTTGTATTGTTCATTGTAAATTGTCACTTTTCACTGACCATTTTGATGTAAATCTTTTTTTTTTGTTATAATAAAGACCAATTAAAATTTTGTAATAATAAACTTCAGCTGGTCGACAGAATTTGTGTTGCACCAGAGAGCCACAGGGAGCCATGTCACATTTTTAATCAATGTTTATTTCAAGTTTGAATAGTTTTTATTTAATGGCACCAGTTACAAGGGACTATTGGAGAGAAACAATATTTTATACCGACTTGTACAGAAGGTTACCTACAGTACAAACATGGGTTCGGAATGGATCAGACTGAACAAGAACTGGATTTGGCACATGGATTTATATATATATTTATACTCGTATATATAACGTAATCAAACAGCAATCTCCGATCCCAGGATAGAACAATGCAGACTACATAACACACCACCAGACATGGATATGCATATACACTCGTATATGGCGTGTATGCGCGGTCATGTGAGGGTCTGCCCACTGGGAGCTGACAGAGGGGCAAACAAGCAGATCAAGATGTCTTCAGTTAAGACTCTTTATATATGTCAAACCCTCAGTTCCACATGCATCATCCACGTTAATGTGACGGGGACTTTAGCCAGGAATGAAATTTAGGTCGCCAATTGTGTAGATTTTTACATTTAAACTGGATATGTTATATTTTAGTCACATCAATAACAAAAACCATGTTTAAGGGACAGCCAATGACAATCTTTGAAACTTAAGTCCTGATTACTTCAGTCATGTACTGGTTTGTAGACTTTTATTAAGATGTGATTGCTGTAAATATGTAACAGAACACAGGGAGTAGACAAAATAAGAAAAACACCTCACAGTAAAGGTCACAGGGTTCTCACTGGTCCTTGAAATCCTTGGGGGAAAAAATCAAGGCCTTGAAAGCTTTTTTGACAATAGACAGGTCATTAAAAGTGCTTGAATTTATATATATATTTTGTGGAAGAACAGAAATTTAAGTTATTTTAATACTGTCTGCCATAATTGTAACATCACAATTTAGCACATTTAAGCTTCTCTCTAACTGAGGTATTTTACAACCTGGACCTTATTTTCCCAAGTTTTTGTGTCTAACTGACAAGTGGGAACAACAATTTTTGAAACTGGTCCAGCATTGAGAGACAACACTGCAGCCAGAAACAGGAAAACAGGCTGCAATGTAATCCCTGTTGTCGGTTGAGCATCGACAGTTTACATCTGATTAAAGTGTTCATTTTTGCCATTGTCAGGCACAGATTATTATTCTTAGTTTCTGACAGCAGTGTGGAGAGGATCCCCACAGATACAGACCTCTTTATTAGAGAGTAAGATCCTTTTATTTAACCATAAACATCATCTCCAAACCTACCAGACTATTGAAAAAACAGTAATTTTAGCATCTATAGAGCCAGCATAATTTCACATCCAACTGAATGAATTTAGGGTTTACTTCAACTAAACCGGAGTTGGTGGTTGTTGGAACAGTGAAAAAATTATCCAAGACAGTTTTTGTGAGTTTTATTTTGCTCCTCTCGACCTTTAATGAAGTGTGTTTCACAGTGATAAAATTACCGTTTATTTAAATGGAGTCTGGCGGCTTTTGTGATAGCAACTTTGGGGCTGTTTCTGGGGAAACAAAAAGGATCTTACTCTTTAACAAAGAGGTAGACCTCTGTAGGGTCCTTTCCATAATGTTGTCAAACACTTGGAGTAACAATCTGAGCCTGTCAGTGACAAAAACAAGCACTTTCAGTGGAGTTAAATTGTCAGTGCTCAATTGCCCCCAGGGATTACACTGCAGCCTGTTTCGCTGCTGCTGGCTGCAGTGCTCTCTCTCAATACTGGACCAGTATCAAAAATTGCTGTTCCTATTGGTCATTAGACACAAAATCCTGTAAAAATAGGGTCCCGGTTGAAAAATACAGAAGTTACCCTTTAACTGTTAACTGTGTCTTGATCCATGTCTAAATTATGCTGTGCTGGGACCTCGAACTTGAGGGAATTGAGTCTGGAAAGTCCTTGAATTTGATGTTTGAGAACACGTGAGAACCCTGAGTTCAGTTCAGTACAAAAACACCACAAAGTACAACCTCAAAAATGACCCTGAACATCTGTTTGAAACCACCTTAATAAAAGTGGATCATAACTTTAACACATGTAGGGTTTGTGGCTTGGTTGTTACCATGTGGGTGTTTCTGTTACTGAGTCCACCCCCTGCGTATTATTAAATTCAAACACAAGTATTATGCTTCATCTTCCAGTGCACATTGGCTGTACCTTCGGTGCTGCTCTCCAGGGACGGACAAGCTGTTTCTGATTTGTAAACCATGGATGACAAACACACTCGTTCATGAAAACTCACACGTCTGGCCAAAACTGCAGCCATCTCCCATGAAGTAAAAGAAAGTGTAAACTATGTAAACATGACACAGCAACTGAAATGTCAAATAAAAAGGTTTGTCACAGGAAACCTGTCAAGACAAATTAAGACAGAGACTTCGGTGTACATTTTACAAACAGTTTCAGACAGAGATGAACACTGTTATTCCCTCTCGGCCTGGGAGATTTAAGGACGGAGTTGTCCGTAGTATAGTTGTTATGGATGTTGTGTCTTTTCGCCCTCCATTCCTTCATCTTTGTCACTTTGGTAAACTGCAGAGTTAAGATCCAGGCACAGGGAACAATCTGTCACTTAACAATGAAACAGCAAAGAAACAGCAGAACAAACATCCACACAAGAGGTCTCTAAGGAGAAATTGATTTTTATAAAATGTTATCAATGAATGCGACAGTAACTAGGTGTCTCAGTGGTCATCGTTAGAATCAGCACAACAGCAATTTGGTAAGTGGTTTTCTTAGAAACACAAAGGACATTACTCATCGTTGGATTCTCATACATAAGTTTGTTAATCTTTTTGCTCTTACAGCTGATTATTGCTCCTTGAATAATGCTGCCTTATTTTTGTGTTTTAATTGTTGCATGTTCAGAGAGACCACTGACGCTACATAATGCTGATACATGTATGAGAAACACCTTCAACCTTTAAAAGATGTCCTGCTAACAACTCAGCCTGGCTGGGCTGCTCGGTCATGTCGACCTTTATGTCAGTAAAGAAGTAATAAATATGAAGTATGAATGTACACAAAAAAATTCAACCCGCCCACCCTGCTCCACCCCCTGCTAGGAAAAATGTGTTTCGTCTTTGCATTACTATTTACTGGATGTATCCGAGTTACAGATTATTAACTTGACATAAATAAGCTCCTACACTGTGTGTGTGTGTGTGTGTGTGTGTGTGTGTGTGTATGACAGGTTTCTCGCCAACGTAGCTCTAATGATTTGATATTCCCTCTAGCATGGCGCAAGGCAATGTCAGCGCTGCCCCCTTCCACCACAGATAACTAGCGAAGGATAATGAGCTACAGGAGTGGATCCAGCCACAACGCCAAAGTGCATGCTACTCTGTGGTCAGGACTACAAGTTAGCCAGGGAGTGACGCGCTCGAAATACACAGGAGCAAACAAAGAAGGTAGCACCATCAGGCCCTCAGTGGGAGCAGCTGCAGGTATGAGAGTGTGGTGTTTGAAATAACAGGCCAAAAATTAGCAACCCTGTACAGCAATTAAAGTGGTGAGGAATACTTCAGCCCCACAAATGACCATCTGTTTATCAATTTATCACCCAGTGTAAAGATGAAGTTGTGAAGGAAACTTTGTTTTTCTCTCATGGCTCCAATTGGAGCCATGTTTGATTTGTGTTAAATGTATTATCCCGCCACACCACAAGGTGGCCTATGTCACTGGCTGAGACAGGCCATGGTGTTTAAGTTCATGCCAACAAGTAATTTTCTGAGAACACATCCAAACAATTCAGCCAATTAGCAACCAGTAGTGGCTGAAGTATAGGGCTTGTCACTGCACCTCCAGTGAACGAAGAATCCAAAAATGGAGAAAATTCTTAATAAATTAATAATAATAATATTAAAACATCCATTTACAAACTCTTACAAAACGTGTCCAATATAATCGAAGTCTCATTTTTCCTGTGTTGTGCTCAGCACTTTCCAAGCAGACAGCCCTTACTGACAGGAAACTTAAACTCAGTTTATGCTCTCTTCAAAGCCAGACTCCACTGACAAAAACAGGAATTTTACTTTGCTGAACACGAAGCCGCTAGTGTATTGCTGCCTTTACAAGTTAGTTTGTTTTTGTGTGAGTGATTCAATAACACAAAAAACTACCTATCAACAGCAGTAGAACAGCACCTCCTGTGTTCAGTGAGGTAAAATTACTCTCTTTGTCAATGGAGTCTGGCTGTGAGAAGAGCATAGATAAGTTTTGCTATCAATTCAGTTACCTGACAGAAAAGGCTTTGTTGGCACTGCAAACAAGATAAAGGTACTTTTTATCATACAGTATGGACTTGTTCTAAGATTAAAACCTTCTGGGAAAATGTTTACGCAATCCCTGGTAAAATATTGGCTACACTGTTCACTTTAATCCAGCATTTTGTCTTTTGAATGACACTTCAAGAAAACTGGTCGAAACACAACATATAAATTGTAACATGACAGCTAAAAGACTGATAGCAACAAATTGGAAGGACGCAGCTCATCATTTCTGGAGATGATCTCCATGGAGGGAGCAGTATCTAACCTTTCTGAAGTTTATAATGAGGAACAACTGTGGAAGGTTGGACTGGATACTATTTGTGAAATACCTACTTTTCCAAGAGTCTGGAGACAGACTCCAGAAGAAACATTAATGGTCCAGTATTTTAGTTTATCCTGTAGATCCACAACTCACTAAGGCACACATAAACCCTCCATTATCAACACCCCTTTGTTTTTGTTTTTTCATCTTTTCTTACCCGGTTTAAGTACCTTTGCAGATATGTGAGTTAAGTACGCTCTTGTTTTTCTGTTTGTTGAGAAAATCAATAGAAGTTCAAGTCAAAAGAATAAAGACCTGTCTGTTTGGGAAGTACTGAGCATTTGACTGGATAAATGACACTTGAATTATACTGCACGAGTTGTGCGAGAGTTTGTAAAAACAGATGTTTTGATATAGAGTTGCTGTTGTTAAACGCAGACCCCTTTTTCTTTAATTCATCAAGAATTTTCCCAGTTTTTGGATTCTTCGTTCAGCAAATTCAACTTAACACAGGGTCAGTAACTGACACACAGATGGTCATTTGGGGGTGAAGTATTCCTTTAAACCGCACTTTCCAAGAAGCTCTCTCAAAGGCCTCTGATATCCCCCAGTCTTCTCTACCTCTTCCTCTCTTTTTTCCATTCTCTTTTCCTTCCTCTAAGTTCTTCTCGCCTTTTGCAAAAGATGAAAAATTGACTTCTCTCTGTCTGAACCTCCACCACCACCACCTCAAATCATGTTTCAATTCCTACATACAGACACAGTAACACTTACACCTGCACTTGGTGCAGGAGGTAGACACGCATTACAAAAAACAGATTTTACCCAGAATCCAGCAGTCGTGGCAGTTATTGCTTCCTGGAGCTGTGAGGCAGAAGAGTCTAGAGCCTGACCGACAAATCTAAGGGCAGATATATTCACCAATATCAGCTGATATCTTGGTGTCTGGTTTCATTTTGGCTGATGTGAAAATTAAGGGAGGGATATAACTGAAGTACATAATTCGGGAAAAAGTGCATGAGGTGCCTCAGAAGACGTCATCATTACATACTTAAGTTTGTCAAGCAGACACCATTGTTACCTCCACCAAAGAGGCCGTGTTTCCAGTCCTATTATTAATGTATTTGTGACAAAATCTTTTGTTTGGGGCTGCATCTAACAATTATTTTCATTGTTGATTATTTTCCAAATTAACAAATTCATTGTTTGATCAATGCAGTGTCAGAAAATGGTAAAAAAAAAATGCCATTGTAATTTCTCAGAAGCAAAGGTGACACAAGAATCCCAAACCCAAGGATATATTTACAATTTACAGTAATGCAAAACAGAGAGAATTTTCACATTGACGACGCTGAAACCAGAAAATATTTTTGCTTGAAATATCAAAATAGCTGCCAATTAATTTTCTATCTATCAATTAACTAATCGTTTCAGCTCTTGTTTCCTTCATCCTTGTCAAAAATGAATTTCATTGTGAGGACAGGCCATGGGGTCGAGTATCGGTCAGGCTCAAAGTCACCTCTCCAAACTCTTCAAGTAAAAAAGAAGATATGGTAAAGTTATGAAAGGTGAAAATGTGCTTTTTGGATTATTTGGTATTTGCGGTGGTGTGATATTATCTCCAGATTTCATTCTGTACAAACGCATGTTTTAAATTACCATTAAAATTGTGCACACACTGAAGGCTGACTGACTGCTGGTGGAGTGATGAGAGGTGTGATCAGTGTCGAGTGGATCTGGATAAAAACACTGTTTTTTTTTTTAAGTCCCCACTTCCACATTTCCATAAATGCTTCTGACCTTACTTGAAACACAGCGCTAAAAAAGGTATAATTTAATCTTCAATAACAAAATAACATTTCAGTTCTGTTAAAATATACATGGAAAACCTGTCAATATATATTAGGAAACAAACTAATTTGTACAAAAAGTACATCATTATTCTTATTCTAATAATAATAATAATAATAGTAATAATAATATAATATGATACATTAACCTATGAGCAAGGTCGATATGAAACCAAGAAAAAAAATCAAACTCTTCATACAAAGAAATTATTGAAATTCATCGAATTTCAACTTGATGAAAAAAATGCAAATTAATTGGAGAAATAACAGAACAACTGAACAGATGGGGACATTCAAAAGTACTTAATTATTAAAACCATATGAGCATTGCACATCTATCTAGACTATTATCTATTGGTGCCAGCAGATCTTTGCTCTCCAAGAGTATTTCTCTAACCACATCTGACACTAGGTCACACAACACTATTGGTTTATTTGACTGTATCCCTATAAAATGTTAGAAAAACAACTTTGTTTTCTGTCAGGTTACTTTGTACACCGTCGTATACTAAAGTGTAATTGTGTCTTAAAACAATTCACAAAATTCTAAATTAACATCTTCTCAAAAAGGCATTTGGTAATCACCCTGTCTGCTCTCTGCTTCATGAACCTTCACTGTTGCTCCCCTCAGATTGTTCTGTTTTTTCCTGCTGAGGTCAAACTGCTGACGTCTGATGGGATGAACCAATATCAAAACATTTGATACTACCATGCCTCAGGTATACTTCACAGCAGTAGGCCTATCGACTCTAAAGTAACTCACTTCCATCTTCATTTTCATGACAAATCAACTTCCTCGATTGCTGCTCATCCCGTCTCCCTTTCTGATGCAAATACATGTTTAAAAGCAATAAATAATAAATGAAGGCAACGTTCATCTGTTGCAACAAAATCTCCGTTTCTCTAAAAGGAACGGTTTAAACTTCTTCAGTCCTTTGATTTCAGTTTTAATTTTTTTTCCTTTGTGTTATTTGAAAAAATAAAATACCTGAAATGAGGTGAAATTAAAAAAAATGCAAAAAAAAGAAAAAAAAAGTCCTCTGGATTTGTAGAAAAAGAAAAATTAGAAGAAGAAATCAAGCGAAACGAGGAGGTGGTTGGGTGGGTGGGTAGGGGGTTAACTCAAAGTGGAGGAGGAGAGGAGAGATCCTGGCCCGGTGTTACCAGGAGTGGTCCAAGCTGTATGTCTGCAGGAGGATGATGAGAGAAGCAGGGTTCATGGTTGGGACGAGGCTGCCCTCCATCGCTCCGGAGTCCTAACCGTCATCTCAGACCCCCGAACGGGCTTACGAACTCTACGACCTCACTCTCACTTGTTAATGAGCAACCCGCCCACCCAGCGGAGCTTGCAGGCAAACCACCGCCTGAGGGGACAAAAGTATTCGTAATGGAACTGCTCAAATTCGGGGGTCTGGCGGATATCACGTAAAAATGCAATGTCAAGGTCTGACTCGGTGAGGATGATGAGGAGGAGGAGCAAGACAAAGAGGAGTCCAATGGTCACAAGGAGCAAACGGAGGACACTTAAGACAAATTTATTCACCTGTTCCACCTCGCTGAGGGCCGAGTCCCCCCCAGCACCCTCCTGTGCAGATCTACCGTCTGCACCAAAATCACCCCCTTCCCCGCGGGGGGTGCCCGCCTCCGACTCCTTCTCCTCCTCGATGCTGCAGGGCGCTCCGTTTATCTGGCGTGAGACAGCCAGCTCCATGCTGTGCTCGGCCACCGGGGTGGGCAGGACGCTGTCGGACGGGCTGTAGGCCTCGTCCGAGATCACCGCAGTCCCCTCACTGGAGTCTGTGGCCTGGCTCCGGGAGCGTGGCATGAAGGATTCCCCGTGGGACACTGAACGCACCGGTGTAGAGTGGGCACTGTCACGCAACGACTCCAGACCTTGTGGAGTGGTTCAGGGGGGAAGAGGGGGAGGGGAACAGACAGAAGAAAAGAGTATTACACAAATTTTACAGCAACAGAACAAAAGAACAACATTCATGATCTAGTGTGGCGTTCACTGACACAATATAGCTACTGTAGTTCTGCTTCTAAATACTTAGAGGTCTATTCTGCTGTTTGTCCAGCAGAGGTCTGTTACAGCGCACAGACACACAGTGTCCAACTCAAGAGCAGAAATCTGATCATGCTTTCCCCAGGGTCAAACAGACAGGTGGAGTATTTTCATTGTACATAATGCTCCCGTGTTGATGTGATGTCTCATCATCACCTCTAATGGAAGAAATCATCACTTTACACAGGCACTGGAAGCCCATTAAGATGAAGTGTACTATACTGCTTCCTGATATCATAGCTGACATTCTCTCAATTTCTCTACCAGCACTGTCAGAGCCCTGATCTCTAAACAAGCATATACTAGAGGTTACAGCACTGATCTCACATCAGTCTATACATAGCGACTGTGTTAATATGTGATATTTATTTTGAACATGTAGAAAAAAAGACATGTAGGTACAAACAAGCAGACAAGCAAACAGAAAGTAGTATTCACCAATAATGAAAAGCAACTATCAATGTATAGTTGCTTTGATTTACACATTCTAAAAGCAGTGGAAGTATAAACTTATTAAATCCCACCCCTTCTCCATCAGTCACTGAGTGAATGAATGAGACAGCTTCCTTATATAGATAAACCTGTACCAAAGACTTTTCTAAATATACCATTGGTATTACATTTTAACCTTGTCACACAAAATAACCCATGCATATCTATATAATAATAATTACCAAATATCTACCTTACAAAAACCTTAAAATCTTAGTTTATAATATAAATTACCAATTATCTGTGACTTACAAGTATAAACCAGTCCTAATGTGATATATATGTATAATACCAATTGTCTTTGCCTTAGGTTTACGTTTTTTTCAAGTCTGTCATAAAACTGTCGGCACTAGCTGAGAGAACGTCCCTGTCCAATGTAAGAGACAAGGGACAAAATCCAGTCTTATTCAGTGCAAAAACGTACTGCAAAGTTCAGCTCAAGTTGTATGTTTATTTATATATATTTCACAGAAGGAAGCATCCATCTACTGATAGCTCACCTAGCACTACCAAGCTAGCTAACGTTACAGCTCAGCCGAGGAGGACGCCATTAATGTTTACATGATGTGCTGTCAAGAGCTTCCTACATGAAACTGTTCACAACAAGGTCTGTGGATTACCTTGAGTAACCGGGACAGAGACATTGCTGTTGAGCTTTTCAAATATTTTTGGGCACTCTGAGCACCACAAGCCATGTATTTTGATTACATTGGAGAGAAGGAAGACATCTCTACGGATGATATAGCCAACACTCAGCAACTCACAGCGAAACAATCTAGACAGATAAGAAGCACTACTGATAAGAGGAAAAAAATGTAGTTTTGATTCGGGTGTGAACTGTCTCTTTAAGGCCTATAGAATGCTTAAAATCAACCTGCGTGCATCAGCACCAAAGAGTTAAAGAGTCTTTCCTAATTAAATCAAACCAAAATGAAAAGGCACACAAAAATATTCTTAACCTACAACTAAGAGTGAGCATAAAATCTTGTATTACAAGGCATGTAATCTGATGTTGTGAAATAGGAAAAATCTGTTTATGGATAAATAGCAAGACAGGAACACCTGTTTTTCACAAATTTTATCAGATTAAACAGCTAAGAAAACAAGGTGCTTCATGAGATTGATTCTCAAACCATACAAAAATTTAGTATTGCCATAAAACAGTAATCCTCTTTGATTTGCAACACTGCCATCAATGGTCTTATGAAGCTTGTATGGCAAATCCTGAGCAAATGCAACCTACCTAAAACTACTCAATTATATATGTTACTGCTACTGTACAACTCTACAGTTCCCTCTGCAGTAGAAGTAGCAGTACAGTATGTGAGAGTCTCATCACAGTGGACATGTCAGCAATGATGAGCTGCGGTTAAACCCTTTGCTGACGATATCACATTCTCTAGAGGGTCAAAGCAGCAACATTACACCCTCACAATAAAGGGATTGGATTAACATTCAGCTTTTGATGAGGAAGCAAAACATGAAAGTGATTTTTTCAAAGAACTGCAGGAAAGGTGGGAGTGATTGTGTCCAGTGTCAAAGCTTCTGCTGACATTTTACTCCTGTCAAGTGAAGAGAAGGAGGCGTAAAGGCTGGGTGACCATCAGCGGCCATCTTTACTGAGTGTTGATCTGACTTAGCATATCCTAAGTTGTGCCTACAACAGTGAGGCAGCGAGCAGAAAGAGCATTGCTTTAATGTGAGTACTCATGATAAGAGCTTTAATTCAAAACACTTGTTTTAAAAGAAACACATGCACCAAATTAGCACACCATATCTCTTTAAGTATTGTAAACTGGTTGGAAACAAATATAGCTGCTACATAAAGAGTCCTCTAATTTAAATCAGTAAAACAGCACCACGAAGAAATTAACAGAAAACGCTACTGAGACCTTCAGGAGGCACAGACAACCACAGGAATGGTGTCCCTCCCTCCCCGTCAACATCGCTGAAGCAGCGACTGATTTAAAATAGAGAAAGCCATTTACACTTCCATGTAAAGCACATCCCTGGCTGGGTCTGTGCTGAATTTACCTGGAGGGTTGCTGGGTTGAACGCAGGGCAGTGGGGTGCCAGGTAGAGGGGTGGCCCTGGCAGACTCCTGCTGCCCCGTCAGGGCAGGATAAAGAGGCAGGACGCCCAGGGCCTTACCCAGCATACGAGGCCCCAGGCTCAGCACGCGAACCTTCACATCCCGATAGCAGTGATTGATCATACGCAGGTGGACGTTCACCCTCGTGGTGATACGGATCAAACACTTCACCATGGTTGCAGCATGCACGTATTAATCCCGTCCTTATGGTCCCAGTCCCGGAGTCCAGGCCACAGTCTCGCTGTGTGTGTGTGTCTGTTAGGCCGAAGGGTTCTGCCTTGGTTGCGGTTTGCGTAGAGGAGTGTGTGAGGTAAATCGGTGGCTTTCAGCAGCAGTGCAACAATCGTCAGCACTGGCCTGGCCAGGTTTGGCCCCACCCAGGCCAGTGACATACATGGAGCAGAAGACCCAGGCTATTTTCAGCTGGGGTATTAATACCACTGTAAGACACACAGTCAGCACACACTGGGGGTGAACTGAACCCACGGCAAGAGACCCTCAATATACACAGTACACCTGCTCCTGACCTCCATTTATCTCACTGTACAAAGAGTTATAGTGTGTACTTGAAACGTTAAAGGCAGGGTCAAAGGGTCTCACTGCTGGTTTACCCCAGAGCCACGCAGGGTTATTACGCCTGCTGCGTCCATGTCAGTAACAGACGAAGTGAGGCTACCTGTTCTGGGCCAAGAGCCTGCAGGTCGGCTGAGTAAATGACTTTAGCTGCCCGTTGTTGGCAAACCAAATACACAATAGCTCAAACACACACACACTGAGCTCTGAAACTCTGATTGAAGTGGAGCAGGCTGACTGACGCACACACCTGCAGCATGTCCCACCAGCGCTGTAAGCATGAACTAGGCCAAAAGGCTCGAGTTACTGCCTGTGTGTGTATGTGAGAGTGTTACAGCTCCTTTCTTCTTGTTTTCTTCTCCCTTTCCGTTCCTCTTTCTCTCAGGTGCTCCTGATCAGTAATCAGAGTGGCCCTGCCCATATTTGGGAGAGGCTGGAGAAGCAGCCGTCTCTCGCTTCCAGACAAAGCAGCTCTCAGATCAACTTGATGTTTGTTTTCTTTCGCTCCTTATGTTTTATTTATTACTTTTTAATATAGAGGTCTGGTAGTCCAGTTTTTGTTGCTTTGTTTGTTTGTTCAGTTTCTACACTGTTCTGTTAATTAAGAGCTGGAGGCTCTGGGTCCTACGGCCCGTTGTGTGGCTGGACTAGACTTCCTCCATCTTTTTCGTCTTTCTGGCCCGGCCCCCAGACTAGAGCCTTGAATCTCTGCCCAAACCGACTTGGGCCCAACCTGACCCACTTGGTTCAGGTCAGGCCTGGCTGTAATATTTTAAAATTCCCTCAAGCTTGAATCGGGTTGGATCACGGCAAGTTGGTGTTTTTCTTCTTCTCTTTTTTTAATGCAGAGGTTATAGTCTGGTATGAGCTATGTTGCCATCAACCCATTATAACTAATGAAAATGAGATTTAAAAATAGATTTAAATGGACAAAATGTTAGGATTTGGGGGTAATTGGCTCACATACTGCACACAGACTCCCTTGCACTACACAGGAGATGCATGAAACTGGCAGTTCTCGTGCATAAATGACAAGAGTTGCACTTGACTGGAGCGAAAACGAGAGACAGAGAGAAAAAGGCGCTGCAAGGCGACTTGGTTGGCAGTGTCCCTCTGCTTCCCCGGCAGAAGGAGAGATGTGCATAACATACAGCGAAGAGAGAGAGGTGATCATTATCTGTGCGCAACATCGCCTTGTATCGCCGTGTACACTTGAAGAGAGAGACACAGCCCACTCTGCTGAACTTGTCATGTGCCAGAAGCACACTAACAGAAGAAAGACAAGAAGGAGAAGTGGTGCAGGAGAACATGTCGGCTCTTAGCTTGTTATAAATGTTTTATACAGAGATAACTTTTTTAATCGGGCCCAACAGCTGCCAGGGTTCAGGCTCGGGTCATGCTTGGTCAGAAATTATATGGTTCATGTAGGATTGGGTCTGGTTTTTTGGGCCCTGTCATAGCTCTATACTTTTGGTTGATCAGTGTCATTATTTGTAAATAAAATCTTTTTTTTAAAGTGATACTTAGGTATGGTGTCCTCTCTATATGTTGCTTGTCACAAGGCTGACCCAAGTCTGCTCGTAACATAAGTGTGTATTCTCAAAAAGGGAAGGACTTCCCACAAATGGTACCAATGGCTCCCTGATCCATTAAGGCTCTTATACAAGCCAATGATAAAACATTATATACGATTATATCTGAAGAGTGAGATCATTACTGCTTCCTGGATGGTACTGAAACAACAAATGTCAACGCGTAATGATACCATGCTCTCTGTGAGGCCTCTACCCGAACACATAAAGTCTTGTGATAACACAAATTCGCCCACAGCACTTCCATGGCAGGTAGAGGATTTGTTGCTTGCTTAGCCCTGGTGAAGCATGGAGGTGAAGCTCAGTTCTTACCCTCCATGATAGATATGTGCACAGCTCTCCGACGCGTGCGCGGCACACTGCTGAGGCGAGGCCCATGGGTGATGGATGGACAACTTCTGCTGGGCACAAGGCCAGCCCTGCAGAGACAAACACACACATAAATGCACAAACATCACCGCACAAAGAAAAAGCCACGAGCAGAGGTAACTCGTACTGCAGCGAGTAGGTGCTGCTGATATAAAGACATCTACAGTAGCTTGGTGCCTAAGAAAATGGAGGAAAATGAAACAAAAAAATCTGATTGAGGACATTCTGACCTTTCCTGAGTTTAAAACTCTACCTGTGAATTTCTGGAGGTTCGCGTTTGATTTTGGCACTCTGCTCCATCACCTCTTTTGCCACTCGTCCACTGTTACAAAGCACAGAGACGATGCTCAAGATGAGTTTCACATACACACAGGCGCACACACACACACACACACACACACACACACACACATAACCAGGCACCCTAGTGTCACCCAATGCCATGAAAGCCATCACTGCAGTGGATGAATACAGTGCATGGGCATCATGATTGAATTAACCCGGTGAATTCAGCTTTATGTAACTGAATTACCACCAGTCAGACAAATGCACACACAGAGTTGCAGGCAAAAATATCAAAACAATGATCATGGTTTGCCCTTTAACGGTAAACTCAACGTTTACGTGACTGGGCTTGTGATTTCAGTTCATTTACAGTCTCCATATATGAACATTATCAGATATTTTGAATGCAAAATTAATTATAATAAAAAAAAACAAAAAAATTATAATAAAAATATTTAAAATAAAAATAAATAAATTAACTTCACCTTTAAATAGTCGTAGTTTTGTACAGCTGAGGTTTTGAGATATCCATATTCTGTCATCACCCCGCTAATTTCTTTAGTATAAAGTAGCTTCAATGGAAATTCTTTGTAGCAAGGTTGTGGATTATCCAGAGAAAACAATTTTAATTTTTAAATGCCAAACACAACAAAGGGAATTTCATTCACTGCCAGAGGCAAAAATCTCAGAGATGGATATCTCAAATCCAAGCAAATAACACAAAAGATTATCATACAAAGATAGAAACCACCTAGTGATCCTTTAATAAAGGACAATATATTGGACATACAGTTTCTATGCTCATACAAGGTGATAATGCCTCATGTGATCAACCCCCTTCATTCGTCCCTCTCTGTCCTCTCATAAGGTGTCAGTCCTATCCTCGGGGCAAAAACACGCTGACGTTACAGCACAGAAGGCCAAGAGGCCATGTCTTATGGGAACACTTCTCTCCACTTCCAGCTGGGGGTTCTCTGCAGTGTCCTCCCCTCCCTGTCATCAGTCATACTGTCTTGATGTGTACTTTACCTGTAACGGAAACGGCTGCCCTTGAAGAACAGGTTGCTGCTGGACACCGTGCGAACCTGACTTGACTTCTCAAGCCTGATGGAAGAAGAAGAGGAAAGAAAAAAAGAGAAAAATTAAGCTTATCGCAACTAAATAAGGAAAACAGGAAGGAAAGCTACTGGAATGACCTTGAAAATATAAACATTTCCTCACTGCAAATGATCACGCTGTTATATAAGTGTGAATATATTTAATCTTTGCTCTCTGAATCCCAGAACAAAGCAGAAACTAGGATCAAATACCCTGCTATAAATTATGCACGCTTCTCCTCGCAGTATAGGCGCTGCATCCTTGGCACGGCTCCATACAGTATTCAATATGTTTATATTGTCATAGTAAGTGAGACATTAATGTTTAATTTTGCTTTCAAGGCATATGTGCATTTCTCCGAAAGACATCTTTATCACAAGTCCTCTTGCCGTTCAGCTCCCCAGACTCCTTGTTATGGTAAGATTTTAATAAGTGCAAGGCTGATAAAATATTATCAGCCTGCCACTTCAGGGAGTCATCAAAAGGTCACATCATATTAACTCCAAAGCGTGTGCTAAGCTCTGCCCTTCCAATGCCCCCTCTCCTTCCATCTGGTAACCCCAACACGCCTGAGCCATCGGCCCCCGACTCATTACTCCGCCGCTCCTGAGCCTCTGAGCTCACAGGCTGCTTTTCTCCTTTTTTTTCAGTTTGTTTTTAATCACCTTTCCTGAGCTGGAGCGAGCAGAGGGGACCCGCGCTATCATTCATGGCTGAAACAGGGGAGCCATATCTCAGAGGGAGTGCTGAAGTGCTTGCCGTCTCGTGCCAGCACGCACTCATTTACTAAAGGTCACAGGGAACTCACACCTCATTTTCCTGCTGACAAACAACCCGTAGGGAAGGGGCTTTTAAGGACACCCAGGTACCATGACGGTAGCCCGTCTGACAACTCTAGGATGGAGAGCAGGTGACCAAATCACGACAGTGTGGGGAAATACGAAGAACACTGAAATTAAAGGGATTGTTCAGATGTTCTGAAGTGGAGTTGTATGAGGTACTTATCAATAGTTAGTTTATAACAAACACTGTATGTGTTGGCATACCCCTCAGTTTGGAAAAGCAGGCAGGAATAGTACCACGGAAGCTGGACAGGAGCAGCAGCAAGATTTTTTTTAGACACCTAGAAAATCCCACCCAAAAACTTTAAGTGTACACTGCACTGAGAGTATTTTCATCACTTAAGCTTTCCATCAGACAGCTTGTGTTGACGGGGAAGCCGTCAACGGCTTCAGTTTAGCATCTATGCTCTTGTCAAAGCCACCAGACTCCATTGAGAAAAACAGTAATTTTGGCTAGCTGAAAACAGACGTTACGAGTCTGACGATGCCCTGATCATTTAGCTAGTTTGTGTTACTGTGTGACTTTGGTGAATCTACACTACCCCTTTTAAACACAAAAGTCATACAATAACACACAAAAAAAAAACTGGTCAAGGCAACAGTCTACAAGCAACTCCTGAGTTCAGCAATGTTAAATCACTGTTATTCCCAATGGAGTCTGGCCTTGAAGAAAGCCATACAAGGGCTTCATTATTTCCCTGATGGAAATCATTGTCTGATGGTAACGGGAAAGCAGTGAAAATATTCTAACTACAGCGTACACTTAAAATGATAATGATTTTTTTAGGTGGCTAAAATATTTTGTTGCTGACCTGTCCAAGTTTCTGTGTCAGACTCCAGCCTGCTTCTCCAAACTGGGGGCGTGCCGACCACCATCTACTGTAGGTAATACTTTGACTATGGATAAGTACAGCATTCAACCCCACCTCAAAAGATCCGAACTATCCCTTTAAATAAAAGAAGAAAGTCATGGACTCACTTGTAGAACGCTTGGTTCTCCACTCCACACTTCCAAAGGTGCTTGCATGCCTCCGGTGTGGGTGCAAAGTACGTCAAGATGATCTTTTCATCCTGCACGTTGAAAATGAAAAAAACGTGCAGGAAAATATAACAAACTGACACATAAAACCACACGTTGTATCTTCCCACATCCAACAATTCATGCTCTCACCTCCTTCTGATTTGCATATACGTGGAACGTCTTGCCTTCAAACTTCAGTTTGGTCACCTCGTTCCTGTCCGGGAGAGGAGTGCAGCAACAGTCACACATACAGCACATGGAAACAGAAAGCCACAGCCCCTTTAAATATTCATGACAACCACTTTGAGATCACATAAACAGCCACGGAACTCTGTGTTTGGCTGACAAAAGAAATAACCGATAATATTCCCTGCAGACTGGGAATGGAGAATGAGGGTAACCTGAGCGCTGCTGAAGGCAAACAAACAAAGCCAGAATAAATACTGCGAACACAATAAGTCTGTCTTCATTATTGTAACAGGAACCTTTTCAGTTGAAAGCGAACATACAGAAAAACAAATGTTAAATAGAGATGCACCATCTTGTATACATTTTCAATTCATCAGTAAAGCATCTTGCTAGATTCAAATCAGTAGGCGTAAGATGGTGTAATTAGCCATCTGTGCACATGCTAGCTGCCGGCTCTTGTCACAGGTAGAGACAGATGGATGAGCTTTGTTGAGTGTGACTGTAAAACCAGCTGTACTGCACGTGCTGTTTCATGTAGAGCGCCCTGCACATAGAGCATGTATGTCAAATCAGGTAAAATCAAGGCCCTGCAGCTCAGTGTTTGTCTATTTACATCCTGCAATCACTTCAGGGCCGTGCTGTCTTTGGCTGGCACAAGAGTCGCACATTTGGCTCACCATTTGAGAAAATGAACTCTCTTGTTTCCCTGAAGCACCACGAAACCAAACGGCGTGAAGGCAAGGAAAGCTGGGTTCCCAGACACATCCTGAAAGACAACAATTTCAAAATATGAACACACACATTCAAACACAAATAAGACATAAATCAGACATGTTTCAGCATGTACTGTATGTCCCATGAGACAGAACAGTTTTCTAAAATGTTTACTAACTAAAAATAGTGCGGCAGTGCATGTCAAACCTTGCATGGATGCGGATCAACACCATATGTCTCCAGCAGCTGGGCTTTCTGCAGGAAATTTCGCTCTGATGTTTCAGGTGTCTGTCCACTGAGGGAGAGCAACAACACACCAAACATCTGCGTCAGTCCACCATCAACATAAAAAATGCAACGCAAAAGTTTTGAAAGGCCAAAACATTTCTGAGAGAGGCACAAACTTATTTACATCCAATGATGTGATATGTTTATTTAGAGAGGCTGAAAGAGGCAGACAGAGGTTACAGAGGTCAAACATCAATATACTGTCAGCTGAGGCAAAGAAAATGTCATGATATTAGATGATATTTAAAAAGATGAGATTTAAAAAGCAGCTTTAATCAAATGTAGGTATTCATAGTGAAGTACTGTAACTTGGTGGTGAAGAAAGAAGAAACCACCAGTGGGCAGCAGAGTCTCATGCTGTTTGTTATTCTGCTCCTACAGCATAAAAACTGGACTTTGTTGATGTCTTTCTCTATTGTTTCTCAGTGTATATCATTAACACAGCAACTCACTCATATTAAAATGATAAAACACCCATATTTGTGCGAATAAGAATCAATTGGGAGAGTTAAACGGATGTGAATGGAACACTTTGTGTGAGAGCAGCTTGTGTTTGTGTCTCTGTCTGGGTGTGTGTGTGTGTGTGTGTGTGTGTGTGTGTGTGTGTGTGTGTGCGCGCGCGCGGGGACCTGTTCTACCCAGAGTGTCCACAGGTAAGTCCTGTGCAGACGTAGGTTTTATGTAGGAATATGGTTATTAGACTGAGTTTGATTAATCTACATTTTGCCAACAAGAAAGTGTTCTGTGACAGGTTTTAAGATTTGGGAGCTTGACTCGTTTTAACAAAAAGAAATTTAAAGATGGCTAAATGAAATGAGATCAAATATGAGAAATAAGACCTCACAAATTCAAATTCAATGACTAATATCTTTAAAATTGAATTTAAGACATTTTAAGACTTTCTAAGGACCTGCAGACACCCTGTCTATCTGATCGCTTTCATTAATGTGTTTAGCTGCTCCTCCAGGTGAAGAGGGGGCTCAGAGCCATCACTAATAGCTGTAATAAAGGGCAGGTTATGAGCTCAAGACAATCTGTCCGAGATATTTGAGTGGATAGCAGATGAGAGAGTGTTTTTTTCTGCTATCTGCTCAAATAAGCGACAATAATCTGTCTGGCCGAGCCAATACAGGAAAATGGGGCCTCATTACTGCACTTAATTACATAAATGTCAGAGGAAGTCTGGTGTTTATTTCAGGAGGTATAAAAGCAGGATCTGTAGGTATGTGAACACAAAAGAGATAAAATGGAGCTTTATATTTTAGCTCTTACATCAGCTCTGTCTTGTGTATGTCTGCAATCCGACGCTCGAGCTTCTCCGAATGTTTCGGGAAGAACTGGAACTTGGAGCTGTAACCTTCAGGATGCTTCCCGGGGTCGTAGTTACCGATCTCAGCTGGAGCGTGGGGGGATCAGAAAAAGCAAAATGTTAAACCTATTCGCAAACATTCAGGGCAAATAAAAGTTAAAATGATGTCTACAGCTTTCAGCACAGTGCTGCTTTATTTTTGCCAGTGGAGACAGGGTGAACATGCCCAGGATGATTTGTGTTCCTTCATGCCACGCTGCACTCCCTTAGATGACCCTTGTGTTGATTTCTCTCTGCGAGGAGGAGCTGACCAGGCAGCCCATCTTTAATTCATCAGCCCCTCCTCCAGAGGACCTGCCTCTCCTCAAACACTGAGCTTCCTGGGATGCTAGCTGTGCCACCATACCTCATGTGTGTTTGTTTATGTATGTATGAGTGTGTGGTGAAAGGACGATAAGATGCCAGATAACCACTTCAAAGACTTTATAACTGAGCGTGGCGTCTTGTTTATTAATGAGTGTGCAAGTCACTGAACTAATTATCATACAAAGTACAGGATAACCTTTCATTTTGTACACGTTTTAGAGTCAGTATCAGTATTGAAAATCACACCCAATGCACAGATCTTATGTATTCATACGAAAACACTGCAGGCATATTCTTTGAGGAACATTACGCCGCACACTCTATCACCTAATTCAGCTTCTTTCCACACATAAATATCTATACGCCTAGCAGGCAGCATTTATCAGACTAGTGAACTACAGGGCATGTTAAAACAGAGGTCGTGAACATATGCAAAGCAGAGAGTGGTGCAAGTCATTTCCATCTGTCACCCTCCATTACCTTGTAGGATGTGGGCAGCCAGCATGGCCGCGTCCGAGGTTTTGCACAGGAGCCGTCCGTGGTAGAGGTCTCTCTTGATTTGCAGGAAGACAAGATACCTACAAAGAAAAGGACAAATCACGTCAGACGGCCTGACAGGCCTGCTTATGAGAATACTGATGATATACATAAATACCCCCAAACCACTCATCCAGTTACGTTTCTTGGTGGAAAGAAAAGAAAAGACAGAAGAGGAGCAGCAAAACAACAAACCTGATAAACCTCAAAGGCTGTTGAGTTCACATTCCCTATGGGTGGTTTGAATATTTCTTTTTGATTTAGCTGAAATGAGGGTTTTGTTTTGGGGAAAGGAGGGTAGGAAGGCCCAGAGGGAAAAGCTGCTACTGATGCTGTGCTTCTCTTAAAGCCTCCAGCCTAGTTTCAGACTCACCCAACCAGTCAGCTCCCTGAAGCATGAAATTTACTCTGAGACAATATCTGAAGTAAATATCACGATGGTGATGACTATTACTATTGTCATTATTGTTATTAGCACTATTAGAGGTGGGCTTATTATAACTGTTACTTCACAAACCCCCAAGCCATGAACAGGAAATAAGACATTGGTCTCTTTGTTTCTTACAATCAGCCAACAGACCTGTTCTCTCTATCTAGGCCATTTCCACAAAGGCTAATAACGCTTTCTGTGTAGAGACATGCATTTAAAAGCTGCTTACATTTCCCACGTTATTTACTCCGCAGCAGGTTCAACAGAGCCTTTTGAAGGTGTGACGAGTGCCAGTGTAATTTAATTGGTACATATTCAACAGCCATTTAGTGCTGATGTTTTGACTGTATTACAAAACATCTGTACAATACAAACATGCACTCACAGACTTGAGACAAATTATGTGCACCTTTTTTATTTGTGTTTCTCTCTTTTTTCCCTCTTTATTTGGAATTTTAAAAAATATATTTTTTAATTTGTTTTGACTAAAACGGGGATATTAGTTGTTGAGCTAACCCCAGTACATTATCATTAATGTTTTTAAATTGTTGATTAATGTGCATTGTCACCCAGTAAATGAAGAAAAATGTCCATATTAGTTAGTACTTCTTAGTTTTTCCCTTTTCTTTGTATGTGTTTTATGTTTTTTTGTTTGTTGTTGGGGGTTTTTTGTCATGTGGATCTTCTTCACAGGTGAACACCTGCTGTCACACATCCTCTGATGAGGGTTTAAAGGCAAAACATGTCGGCAGTTTTGTTGGTTTATTTTTTTTTGGAAAGAATTAATAAACAAATAAATTAACAGATTATTTTGCTTTTTCTAACAACTGTAGTGGCACATTTGTCCCAAATTAGTTTTGGGGAAACACACAAAAGCATGTTAAAAAATATTGAATAGGCCTTATTTACTGAGGACATTTTGACATGTGACAGTAGACAAAGCACAGGTGTATAATACAATTAAAGCTGGGGTAGGCAATTTAGTTTTGGCTTCATTAGGTTAAAATCCCATAATAACCTTTAAGCATACTGTAATTTAAGTGGTCTGAAAGAACACTAAACTTCTACACCTTCGCTTGGCTGTTTTCAGGCATTAGTACGCAGTGTGCATGCACGTCCCTTTAGTGAAAGCTTGATTAAATGGTGGAAAATCCTGGAGAGAAAGTTGCTATTCCAGCATTGGCACTGTAAAGCAACCCAAAAAGGAAGACAGACTTATCAAAAAAGAGTCTAAAAGAGAGTGTGACGTGTGATATGTGTCATTGTCTGCAAAGCAAACAGTTTAGCCTCTTGCTAACCAGATAAAGGGACACGGCTGCAGCTTCAGGTTCATGTCTGTGTAGCTAACATTAGCTAGACCCTCATCACATTGTATTCTCCGCCTCACTCCCCACCTCTTAAGACCACCTAAGCAAGAGGAGAGCAGGCAGCAGCTCTGGAGACGGGGGGTGGGGGGGGGTTTCTTCTTTTTCATATTTCTGCCTACTCCAGCATTTAATCAAAGGCTGAATTCCATGTAGCTGCTTCGGTTTCAGTTCTGTCACGAGATGCTTCAATGGAAAGGAGTCATTGTTAATATTATTAGTAACATCTGTGCTTTTCCTACTATAACAAGTCTGCTGTGAAAAGGCCGCTAACACCAAAAGGCAACACTATATTTAATTGAAAAGCAGACTTTTTTCAGCGTCTATAGAATTCTTCATAATGCATTAACATGCTGTCCAAAAGAAAATCCTTGCACAGTGTGGCGAGCGGGAGCACGCACTGAATGAGCCTTGTATGTGATTGATTATTTACCCTCTCCCTCCCTCTGTGGTCAGCCCTTTCCACTCTTATCATCATGTATCACTCTCCCTTCTCCTCCCCCCCCCCCCCACTCCACAGCCTTTCATTCGCCCTTCTTTTTCCTCTCCACTTTCCATCAGTACCCTTTGCCCCCTATCTCCTCTGTGCGCCTGTTCATTATGTACCCTCTACATGTGGTGTACATTTCATCTCATTACACCTCAGAGAGAGAGAGTGGCCTCCTCTCACTCTCGGCAGTGATGAATGTATCAGTAAACTACATGCACATGTATACCAGCTGGCTGCGCTCAGCATTATCTGGAGGGAGTGTAAACGCAGCGCTCTTCACACTTTTAATTTGTCACTTTAACCTTTCTGCAAATTAATCAGCAGCACATTTAGGAAGATTTACCATGAAATCAAGTGTGTGCATTTATATACAAAAACTAGAGTGAGGGCTTTTACATTTCTCCCTGCTTCACAACTCTGTGTTCTGTGTAATATTTATCATAAGTACTCAGGCAATTTAATTATGAAAGCCCCTAAATAATGTTTTAGAAAGAGACTTGTTTGCTCTGTT